TCAAATAGCAACGGAAATGAGGAGATACAACTTGGCAGTACTGGGAATCAGAGAAACGCATTGGATCCAAGCTGGACAACAAAAGCTAAATACGGGAGAGATGCTACTATACTCCGGTCACGAAGAGGAAAATGCTCCGCACACTCAGGGAGTTGCTCTAATGCTGTCCAAAGTAGCACGAAATGCATTTGTAGGATGGGAATCTTACGGATCCCGAATCACCAAAGCATCATTTGAAACAAAGAAGGAGGGGATCACAATGAATATTTTCCAATGCTATGCATCCACCAATGATAGCAACGACGACATTGAAGATCAATTCTACGAGAGGCTGCAGTCAATCATAGAGAAATGCCCAAGAAAGGACCTCACCATCCTGATGGGAGATCTAAATGCCAAAGTTGGAAAAGACATCACCGGATACGAAGATATCATGAGATGACATGGACTGGGTGAGAGAAACGAAAATGTAGAAAGATTTGCGAATCTGTGTGCATTCAGCAAATTGGTCATAGGAGGCACAATATTTCCACATAAACGTATACACAAAGCTACATGGATCTCACCGGACCACACTACAGAGAACCAAATAGATCATATTTTTATCAATAAAAAGTTCCGAAGGACAATGGAAAGTGTGAGAAGCAGGAGAGGAGCTGATTTAGCTTCAGATCACCACCTAGTTGTGGCCGATTTAAAACTGAAGCTAAAGAAGAACTGGACAACTGGACAAACAGCACTAAAAAGGTATAATACAGCCTTCCTTCGAGATACTAACAAAATCAACGGATTCAAGATAGCTCTCAACAACAGGTTCCAAGCCTTACAGGATCAACTGAAGGAAGAAGAAACTACTATAGAGGACAACTGGAAAGGTATCAACGAAGCATTAACTTAAACGTGTCAAGAGGTTCTGGGCCTAAAGAAGCACCATCATAAGGAATGGATCTCTATAGAAACTCTGGACAAGATCAAAGAAAGGAAGAACAAGAAAGCAGCAATTAACAACAACCGAACACGAGCAGAGAAAGTCCAAACACTAACTGAGTACATAGAAGCAAACAAGCAAGTGAAGAAAAGCATTAGAGCCGACAAACAAAAATACGTGGAAGAACTAGCAACGACGGCGGAAAAATCTGCAAGAGAAGGAAATATGAAACAGCTTTACGATACAACGAAGAAACTAGCAGGGAAATACAGTAAAACAGAGAGGCCGGTCAAAAGGAAAGAAGGCAAGCCAATCACTGAAATTCAACAACAGCGAAACAGATGTGTAGAATACTTCGAGGAACTCCTGATTAGGCCGGCTCCAATGAATCCACCGGACATCAAAGCAGAATACAGAGATCTTCCCATAGACGTCAATCGACCAACGACGGAAGAAATCATAATGGCCATCAGACAAATCAAGAGCGAGAAAGCAGCAGGACCCGACAACACACCGGCCGAAGCACTGAAGTCGGACATCAAAGTAGCTACAAACATGCTTCACCTTCTATTCAAAAAGATTTGGGAGGAGAAACAAGTGCCGATGGACTGGAAAGAAGGACACTTCGTCAAGATTCCAAAGAAAGGAGATCTGAGCAAATGTGAAAACTACAGAGGCATTACACTACTGTCAATATCAGGGAAAGTTTTTAACAGAGTTTTTCTGAACCGGATGAAAGATTTAGACGCCCAGTTTCAAGATCAACAGGCTGGATTCCGTAAGGATCGATCGTGCACAGACCAAATTACAACACTACGGATCATCAGTGAACAGTTAATTGAATGGAACTCGCCATTACATATCAACTACCTTGACTGTGAGGAAGCACTTGACGGTGTGGTTAATAAAACTTTCTCGACACTATGGTGTATCTGAGAAGATTGTCAACATCATATGGAATTCTTTCGACGGACTACACTGCAGAATATTGCATGGAGGACAGCTGATAGGTGCATTTCAAGTGAAGACCACAGTAAAAAAAATACTTACCCTCCCCCTTTTTCTTCTGGCGGTTGACTGGATTATGAAGACCTCGACATTTGAGGGAAAAACACTATTTGGACTTTGCAGATGACCTAGCCCTCCTATCGCATACACATGAACAAATGAAGATAAAGACAGACAGTGTAACAGCAGTCTCTGCATCAGTAGGCCTCAGCATACACAAGGGGAAAACCAAGGTCCTCAAATACAACACAGGGAACACCAATCCAATCACACCTGATGGAGAAGCTCCGGAAGATGTAGAATCCTTCACATACCTGGGAAGCATCATCGACGAACAAGAAGGTTGAGATGCAGACATAAAGGCAAGGATTGGCAAAGCAAGGGCCACATTCCTACAATTGAAGAACATATGGAATTCAAAACAACTTTCAACCAATATTAAAGTGAGAATCTTCAATACGAATGTCAAGGAAGTTCTATTGTACGTAGCTGAGAATTGGGGAACTACTGCAAACATCATCAAGAAAGTACAAGTATTTCTAAACAATTGTCTACTCAAGATACTCAGTGTCCGTTGTTCACCGGACACCATCAGCAACAGCGTTTTGTGGGGGAGAACAAACCAGCTTCCAGCTGAAGGGGAAATTAGGAAAAGACGATGGAAATAGATAGGACATCACGAGACAAGCCCTAACTTGGAATCCTGAAGGAAGGTGGAAAAGAGGAAGGCCAAAGAACACATTACGTCGGGAAATAAAGGCAGATATGAAAAGGATGAATAATAACTGGAAGGAGCGCGAAAGGATTGCCCAGGACAGGGTTAGATGGCGAATGCTGGTGAGCGGCCTATGCTCCTTCATGAGGAGTGACAGGCGTAAGTTAGTAAGTAAGTAAATGTGTGGAGAACAAAGAAGTCAGTCATTTAGGAGTGCGCTGCAGAAACAGACTGGGCGGTAGATACGAGCTCGTTAGTTAAAAAAGCATCGTCCACATTCAAAGGCAAGCCTAGTTCAGCCACATTTTCATTTATGCTATTTTTGGCACCACGTAAACCAAATAACTGTGCGCTATGGAAAACTTCTTGGCTGTGGAAAAAGCATTGGAATACATTCATTTCTACAGGCTTAGAACAGTATCGCTTCAGTTTTGTAAGAAAGGAACTGTTGTAGGATTAATTCGGCATCTCAAACTAGACAAGTCTAGTGGTCCTGACGATATTGGCTCTAGGTTGTGAAAGCCCTATCGGATGTAACTGCCGAACCCATAGCAATACTGTTTGACATGTCTTTGCGACGTCCAGACTGACAAGAATCTGGGAAGACTCAATAACCAGTCCGGTGTATAGGGCGGAGAGCAGTGACTTAGTTGGTAACTATTGACTCGTTCATCTGATCAGTGTTGTGGTCAAATTGATGGAAAAGATCGCTTGGATAGTTATTTTAAACTGCGCGGAGGGGCATAATCTTCTATTCAGGGAACAACAATGCCGAAGTTAAGGAATATCATGCTTGATAAATCTGCAATACAATTTTCATAGACCTAAGTAAGGTCTTTGATAAGGTCTCTCATTCCGCTCTTAAATTAAAACTGAAAAGTTTTGAAACCCATTATGAAATCATAGACCGGATAAGTGACTTTCTAAGCGATAGATGGTGGGTAAGGGTATATTGTGCCTTTTCAGAGTGAACATCTCTAAGAAGTGGAGTTACCTTTGCATACATGATCTGCCAACCGTAATAAAGTCATCCATTCTACTCTTCGTCGATAACCTAAAGTTTTAGAGACCCATACACAGTATATCAGATAGAACAGTATCACAGGAGGACCTAGATTCACGTGTCGTATGGATGAGCAGATGGCCAATAGAAATGAGTTCCAACAAGTGTGTAGTGGTGCAATTAAATAACCATGGCGGTTCATATGACCACACAATATGTATAGTTGTGTTACCTAAAGTAATCGACCATAAAAATCTAGGAGTTTTAATGATCAAAACTACGAGTTACTATAGGGTTGATGCTTGGAATGGCTTCAAAGCCTTGTTGTGTGGCATCGAGTCGCGTTTGACTATGATCACCACTACAGGAAGACTATGTGCCAGTCTACCGATAAGATCCCCTGTAAGCCAAATACCAGAATGCAGTTGACAGATGTAGTCGAGATGTATTTGTTAGCGATCGCATGGTATGGAAAGAATACCGAGATCGTGGCAAAGGAGTACAAGTGTGGTTACTGAGCGTAAGCGAATTTGTGCGGAATCACAAACAACGGAAGTAAGGATGTCTTTGGTACAGTCAAACAAACAAGTACAGTAAAACAATCACTGGTACGATTGGTTATAATAACAATTGTTTCCATTACACCAATCGCATTGTCTTGATAAAAGTAGGTCCCTATACTCTTATGAGCAATTTGTATGTCTTTTCAGTACTAAGGCGAAAAAATGTTTAGGGTGTTATACCTGAGTTTCGTGAGGCCGCATTTGAAGTGTGGGATTTAAGCGGATATACTAGAGCGAGTCCAGCAACGGGGGACCAAAATGGTAAAGGGTCTCTCTGACCTATTCTATGAAGATAAACTAAGACAACAGACAACAGGGTGATCTAATATTGACCTATCGAGTACTGAACAATGACATTGGTAATAATGTGTCTCATCATTTCCTTCCGTCTAGGACTTATCATTTGTGAGGACATTCTAAGGAAGTTTAAAATCCGAGATCAAATCATTTACGTCCGAAGTTTTGTTTCTCGTACCGAGTAGTGAATAATTGGAATTCTCTACCAGTATACAGAACATCAGCACTTTCTGTCGATTCACTGGAAACGAGATTGGACCAACAAAGTGCTGCAAATTGCGAGGATTAATATAGGTTGATAGACCTCCTAACCCTACTACAGAAAACTGAAGACTGAATAGTCAAAGACTAGAACACGCAGCCTGAATAACTGGTATCAGCCTCATAACTGAGCATTTTCAAGGAGAAGGTGAAAATTTGTTGGAAAACAAGCTGCGAAGATTAACCCAGGTCCGCCATCATCTATCTTCATTATTGAAGAACCGTACCGTTATTCAGCGCAATTTCCAAATTCCTACTGGCGTGTTGTTGTGGAATGGCTTTGCGTACTCATTTTGAGGGTGTTAGTGATATCGGTGTGTTTTCCAAACTTACAAATAACTACTGCTTGGTTTCTGTTGGAAGTTCCGAAAACTCCAACAGGTAAAATTGTCCAGTTCTTGCAGATCATATTTTCAGTGTATTCAGAGATGAACTTCCAGAAAACTTTCCTGTTATTGATACAACGATCGCTGGTATTCGAGCTGTTGGGAGAATGACTGTAGGTATGTTCTGGGGGATAATTTACTTGACGTTTGCCGTTTTTGTTCTTATACTACTAGGCAAGGTTGATGTTTACAGAATATGACCTAGTATAGGTTTGCAGGGTTTAAGTTTTCACAAATCACCTGATAATCTTACTATAATTTGTTTGTCTGTATAATGTTCCTAACCTTTTGTCTACCTTATCAATGGCTGGCAATATGTATCATGTTTAATAGTCCGAAAAGTGTCAATTTGTGTTACGTCTCATCAGTTTCATTTTGTAAAGGACAAGAGGCTAGGTGGCCTGTGTCAGTCCTGGCGGTGGTGGTCTCTCAGTTCATCTAACTCTTGAGAGTGTCGACAGATAAAGTAGTGAATTTCATCCGTTGATTCGTTGGGAAAGTCGATAGTCAGCTGACAAGTGATTCGTTCTGGGCTTGCAAACTTGTTGAAAAGTAAATTGCCTGTTTTGGAAGATAAGAAAAGTTAGGGCATGTCAGATGCAAATTTGACTAGAGCAATTTAGGAACTGGTCAAGTCGCCTCTGGTTCTATATGACAATGGAAATAGGTTTAAGTGAGCCAGTCGAGCCTTTATATTCTAGTAATCAGCTTAGTTGCTGTTTGGATTTTCCACAACAACCTACTGTCTTTTTAATTAGGGGTTCGAGTTTACTGCGAATGAATCATGTACAAAATCTAAAAGGTTTCAGCATCAACATGACTAAAGACCTTACGAATTAACCATAGGGTCCTAAAACCTCCGGCGACCATTGCAAGGCAGCGTGCAGTAGTTTTTAAGTCTTGGCTAACAACGATATTTTGGTAATTGTGTCTGGATGACGGGTAGCTCGATTTTATTCGCGTGTATGTATCTGTACCTTGGTGACCAGTATACATAATGGCGGCCAGACCAAAACATGGCACAAGTCCATGAAGTCACTGACAAGTGGACTTAGTCATGTTGGCAGGTGTAGACTACTTGGTTGGAGACCGCGAGATGATAGCAACCGATAGTTAAAGACCCTGAATGACATGGCTCAAAATCGTTTGCAATGGCGCAGGTGCAGACACTCTTTGTGTTCTCCCAAATTTTGATCTCCTTATTCCTCCTTGTCTCTTTTTCTTTCTCTTCCCAAATTTATTTCACTGGATTATACTCTTTAAATAACATCTCCAAACCCTAATGTTCCCGATTACTGCTTATACTCTTACTACCTCTACCACTACGGGATTTGAATCGACCACTACATCTCTGTGCTAATGTGGTGTGGCAGCTCGAACCGATGTACGTACGTACGAAGTTCTACATTGTTAATGACTGACTGATACATAACGCACTTGTGAAAACCTGTAGGCTACTGCCAAGTTTGAGACCAGTCAGATAATTTCTCCAGGTTATTTTGAAGATGTAGGCTACCACCTTTACTTTTTATCACTCGCGTGGGTTCGAATCCCATCCCCGTCCCATATTGGTCCACCAGGGTTCTTGGTACCTGTGTGGTTGCGCCACAGGATTGAGCTGTACCATTCAGATTGTAGCGTTAAGGCCTGTACGGTGTCTGGTTCCTCTGCTAAACGGGGTTGAGCTGCACTGTTTGGGTTTTTACGTGAAAGTCCGGATGGTGTCTGGTTCTCCTGAAAACCAATGTAAAATTACCCTGGCCCACGAGGGTATATTATATAACTGTGTTGCCCCCAAATGCCCTGGTACGGCCGAGAGTGGGGAAAGTCCGCTCTCCCTCTCGAAATGCTCTCACATGGCCACGCGTATATAGCCTCTGCCAGGGTAGTCCTACTCACTGCCTTCTCGTGGCGGGGGTGTTATTTACAAAAATGAGAGGACGAAAAGCGAATGTCCGGCGCTTTAACCGGATCCCAAACTGATGGTGCACATGGGCTCCAGTATCCTGCGGGAACAAATGGCGTATGAACCAATCGTTGGTCACCGGCTACCATGGGACTGCATCTCCTTACGATGCTCCACTGCCTTGTGGATCAGACCTCTAGGTCAAAGGCTCGGGGAGTGGCCCCCTAAGAAAACCACCTGCTTCGGTTTGGGCACCCGGGCAGTATCACAGCCCTCGCACATATCGAATAAGATTTGTGTGGCGCATATGTATTTGGTGCCTTCTTGTACCAATATCTATGTGTTAAAATAAATAAATAAACTCTACATATCTTGACATCGTCAGCATTCAACAAGATCGATGATGATGGGAGACTAGGAAGGTCATTTACATACAAGATGAACGATACGCCACAAACCTGTACCCTGAGGTGCTCTGCTAAGCACAGTTTTCCAGCTCTTTGTTGGCGCCCAACTAAAAGGTCTTTTATCCACGTTAATAGATTGCCTCCAATACCGACATTACTTAACTTATATAACGGTCGGCTGTAAGGAACTTGGTCAAAAACTTTGCTAAAGTCATTGTAGGCTACGTCCATAAGTACATTTTGGTATTTCAGAGCGCACCAACTTTCACGAGCCGCTAATAAGTTAGTGAGACAGTAATAACCTGTTCCAAAGCCATTCTGCTTTTCAGAAAGAATCCGGTTTTCGTCGAGATACTTAAACAGCTTCCGAATAATCTTTCTCAGACTTCTAGCAACCATACTGATTAAGTTATTGGGTCGGTAGTCCTCAGGTTTTTATGTTTCGTGTCTGTTTTGAAGATAGGAATTACTATGACGTTCTTCCAGTCTTTTGGTAATCGACCCTGGGTTACGGATAGATTAGAACATATACTTAAGGGGTTCGCAATGAAGTTAGCTAGTTCCTTTAGTAACCTAAGATGCATTTCATCAGGTCCCGTGGGTTTGCCTATATCAGGCATATTTAACAGATCTAAGACATCAGGTCATTTAAAGGTCGCAGTGTCCAGTGTATGTGTGGGGGGCTTGTATGAACTGAGGGAAGGGCGTCTCTACGGTATATACATTGTTGAAGTAATTTGAGAATATCTGAGCTTTACCGTAATCGTCTCCCACTAATGATGCAGTACTACTGTCTTTCCATAATGTTGGAATACTTCTCCTCTTAGTCCTTTAGTTTATATATACGTTTAAGCGTTTAGGGTATTCTATAGATTCCTTAACAAATATTTCTTTGTACAATCGTGTAGACTCGCTGAAGGTCGAGGCACGAATATTTCGAGATTCCCGATATTGAGATTTTGTCTCGTCAGTACTCAGTAACCTAAATTTCGTCGACGTTCATCTCTTACGGTGAAGGGTACGAACACCTTTACTGAGCCACTGTGTGTGTGTGTGTGTGGGTTCTCGACCCCTTGATGTATTTCAAGGGATTTGCGGGCAGTGACTTTTAAGTATTAATTTCTAACTACACCCCAGGTCGTTTCGACGGCGGACTGGTTCTATCGTCCAATCTATTAAGGGTGCTGAGTGTATAATATCTTGTATATTTGCTTTCAGGCGTCAGGTCTGGATTGGGCTGACACATCCTCGTTATTGAGAACTATGGAAATTGAAGACTAGAACTGCATCGCCACTTTTACCTAGGAGTAGAATATAATTGAGGTTTGTGACGCCATTCTCATAACGGGTCAATGTGAGATCTAATAAGGATGATCTGGAGTGCGATTCGTGCCTAGTTACCTCTCTAAGATGTTGCACTAGAGCACATGTGATAACCGCAACGACTGTTTTCTGTTCGAAAGAATTTTCTGGAAATTCAGTCCTCAGATTTTTTCAGTCTACCTTAGGTGCATTAAAGTCTCCTAAGATTAAACATCGAATACTTGATAATCAAGTGCTGAAACCGTCTAGCCAGATCTTATTCACCTCACAGTTTGGACTGCGATAGATCAAACCAACCATCAGCTCTTGTCCTTTGCATTTGGAGCGGCAACTAACTAGATCGTACGTGCCACTTTCGTGGGGTATGTTATCGATAACGATAAGTGTCATAGTATTTCTAATGAATAGAGCGACTCCTGCTTCACACTTCTGGATTCTACCGGCTCTTACGAGTGTGAAACCACCCAAATCAAGTTCCCTACTGCGTCAACCAAGGTTCTGTAACCGGCCTGGTAGAGTCTATCTGTACACCTAGCTCCAATCGTTTGTTAAGTTAGCTCCAAGCATTCGTGTAACAGATCTGGAGACCATTTAAGTGGTTTCGTGCTGCACCCAAATTGACTTCGGCATCACTCACTGTTGAAGCCTCACCTTCCAGAAATTAACAGTTTTAAGGTCCTCGCCAGCATCTAACCTTAGTTTTAGTTCTTTTTCAGCGTCTCGTGTTCTTATACTTGTCGCTCGCGGACAGTATTACGGACAAAATCTCCTGGACCTTTCAGTTTATGTCCATTCTGTTGTATTAAGTCCCTTTCATGGGGAGATTTCAACACCACTTTTAGCAGTCTAGTTTGATCCTGTTTCAAACTTATTTGGCTACCTAGTCCATAAACCTTTAGCGAGGTGACTCCAAATATATCCTTAGACATAAGTTGATTCAGTAGCTATCTTATCAACCCAATGTCATGCTCAAAAGAGTTTTAGGTTCTGAGCTCTCACTTTCCTTGACTCTGTCGAAGATAACTGACCTGTCACTGTGATCAAATGGTTGTGGATGGAATAGAAGAAGCTTTCGCTTTACGGGTTTCCGTGTCTAGTAGCAGTGAATCACCAATAACTCCAGGCAGGAACCTAGGTATATTAACGATAATGGTTCAGTCTTTAATTTCCCGTCTATTTTTTGGGGTGTTGGATTTTCTGTAATAGTGTTATGTCATTTCTTGTTCTCGACATGTACCCATTCATCAACTTTCATTGGAGTATGAATCACAGTCGCGTTACGCACACTACGATCCTGGGTGATTATCGACGACTTGGGTAGTCAGGTTTTTGCTTTTCCTGCCAGAAACAGACAGCCTTGTGATTAGGTTTTCTAGGCATTTCGTGCTCGCTACCATCTGGAAGGCGAGGGACAGAAGAAACTTCCTTTCTCGAGTTTTTATTTCTAACAGACTTCTTAATAGACCGTCTTTCCTTCGTTGGCCCATGTAAGTTAATTGACCCTGAGCTTATTTGAGGTGACTCCACATCAACTTTTGCATCGACCGAGCGAGTACTGTGTGACGTGTCTCGACCTCGTTTTATAATACACTTTTTAGGATCACTTACCATTGAAATGGCCTCAGTTAGCAAGCTGTTTGCGTCCGAGTAGCATTGCTGACACAAGCACACGCAAGTATTTTTACTAAACCGTTTGAAAGCCGCAGATGTTAGATTCGTGCAAATTTCGTGGTATTATCCTTCTCACTCATCGCACTGTCCAGCCATCAAACAGGTTTTCTAAAAGAAACCAGATACAATAATGACTAGAAACAAAAGAAACTGATGATCAGAAAAAAGTTGAAAATTGTAAGCTGTTAGAACCAGAAGTGCTAACATATTCAGAGATAAAGTACTCAAAAGTACCGTCCATAAACTGCTTGAGAAAGAAAAACGACACTTAGCTGATAATTTAAGTGAAATATATTCAATTAAAGTGTAAACAGTAGTTTTTGTATGAAATAAATGGTCAAAACAATAAAATTAATTCAGCGCGGAAAAATACCACTGTCTGTTTTCAAATAGCACGCGTATCAATAATGAAATATATGTCGTGTAGCATACGTTCTTGATCTGTAATTTGTATATCCTGAGGGATTACAATTTAGCCAACCTTTTTTGGCTGTCTAAAGTGAGTGAAGTCATTTGGAAGCAAATTGTCAGACCTTGGGAGTTTTGTCGACGCGTAATTATTCAAATTGATGTATGTATTGATGTGATTCTGCTTACTATTGAGCGTACCGTTTCTTCAGATTTCTTGGGGTCATTGGATATAATATCTTTAAACTATTGATCATATCACTTTAGATCAATAATGTTCTATCAGTAAGCTATTTGAATTTGTTAGTCTCGACAAAATAGCTATCTACTTAATTTGCTATATGGTTTTTTAAAAGTATATTTTTACTTATTGTTTAAGGCAATACTCATGGTCTCCTTGTTCCACACTCAACAACTGATCAAGAACTGATGCATTTGACAAATTCCGTGCCAGACAAAGTAAAGGTAGTACGCGTTGAAGAACGCCTATCAGCTCTTGGGAATATAATTGCTTGCAATGATTACGTAGCCCTCGTTCGTCCAGACCTAGATAAAGTAATAAAATCAAACTTCATAAATTTTTAATGTTTTGAAATTAGTGACCTAACATAACGTTTACTAAGGTTTATCAAGCTCAGTTTTGTTGCCGTCGTCGAACTTAAATGTTCCAATGCTCATGTTCGATCTCATTCCCAAAATCATTAGTACTAATTAAGAATTTCGAAACTTTATCTGTTTGTTTGTAGTTCATTTACAGTACTGCTTCCACATTTCACAGCTCAAAATACAGAAATAACATTGCTATAAAGGGCATTCATGTGTACACTTAGTAGCCTGTATCTGACAATTTAATTTCGCATTATCATTTACTAATAACATGTCTTATTTATTTATTTGAACACATATATTGCTACAGGAGTGCGCCGAATATATATGCGCCACACAAAACAATCAAAATCTAAGAAGAAAAAAAAGTGGGGAACGTAAAAAAATGATAATAATAATATAAAAAACAATAACGAAGAGATTGGTGTAACGTAGTGTAATAATAATAATAGCAATAGTAGGGGAACAGAAGGGTACAATCAGAAGAAATCTTTTAGTTAAGGAAGATACAACCACATTTTATGAAGAAAATAAAAGGTTACAGCAGGATCGCCACTGGCTTCTATTCTGAGCCATATCTGATAACGTTTCTAGCCACTGTGTAGCACCATCTCTCGGACCCCAACCAGGGAGTCTCGAAGGACCGACACAAGCCAGTCCTTTGCAGCTTTCTTTCATATCACGACACCATGTCATGCACTGACCACCTCTCTGCTTCTTCCAACCAGTCCCAGAGTCGGCAAATAATGCACGACGTGGAATTCTCTGGGACGACATTCGTAGAACATGTCCAAGCCACCAAAGTCGGTGTTTCAAGATGGTGACACCAATTGCATTATCATCTCTGTGCCCGAACACACGATGCCGAACCTCTGCATGATGTTGCCACTGGATGTCAGCAATCCTTCAGAGACAACGATGATCGAACACAGAAAGTCGTCTAATGTCCTCAACTCGAAGAGGCCAGGTTTCACAAGCATAGGGCAAAACTTCTCTCACCGACGCGTTGTAGATCCGACCTTTTACAGCCAGACTGTCATCAAGAAGGCTCCAAAGATGGCCCAGATTGGCATAAGCCGCTCTGGCTTTCACCATACGTGCATTGATCTCATCACTCACACCCCCACCAGCACTTATGCAGCTACCTAGATACACGGACTTCTCAACTACTTCTATCTGCTCACCATCCAGAGTGAGTACAGGATTAGGATCCTGCCAGTCTTGTAGAAGTACTTTGCACTTCGAAGGTGCAAAGCACATGCCAACTGATTAAGTGCGGATTGCATGGCTTGGGCATTATCGCACAGTAAGACAATATCGTCCGCATACTCAAGGTCGAGAAGTCTTTCTCCAGGCAACAGATCCACACCGCCATTTCTTACATCCATCAGAGCTGTTTCCAGAATGTCAACGATATCAAAGTTGACGAGGAAGGGTGAGATTGGGCAACCCTGCCTAACCCCACTGCTCGAATGGAACAATGGAGGAAGGTGGTTGTATGCCCTCACTCTGCCTGAGGTGTTTGTGTATAGGGCTTTTAGGATGTTAATGAACTTCTCAGGCACACCCTTCTTCAATAGACAACCCCAGAGAACAGTCCTATCCAACGAATCGAAGACAGCCCTAATGTCAAGAATTTTATTTTTATTTATTTTAACACATAGATATTGGTACAAGAAGGCACCAAATACATATGCGCCACACAAATCTTATTCGATATGTGCGAGGGCTGTGATACTGCCCGGGTGCCCAAACCGAAGCAGGTGGTTTTCTTAGGGGGCCAAACCCCGAGCCTTTGACCTAATGGTCTAACCCACAAGGCAGTGGAGCATCGTGAGGAGATGCAGTCCCATGGTAACTGGTGACCAACAATTGGTTCATACGCCATTTGTTCCCGCAGGATACTGGTGCCCATGTGCACCACTGATTTGGAATCCGGTTAAAGCGCGGGACATTCGCTTTTCGTCCTCTCATTTTTGTAAATAACACCCCCGCCACGAGAAGGCAGTGAGTAGGACTTCTTTGGCAGAGGCTATATACGCGTGGCCATGTGAGAGCATTTCGAGAGGGAGGGCGAACCCACCTCGCCATACCAGGGCATTTGGGGGCAATAACATGTCTTATTGTAGCAGGTTCTAATTTAGAGTACCTCTATAGTTAAAACTACACCATGCTCATGTGTGCGAACTAGCACAAAACAAGCCCAGTGTTTTCTATCGGTTCCCTCCAACACTTAACGTCAAATATACTCCATCTTTTTTGTCGATCCATTAGTGGTCATTTGCCATGTTTCAACCTAATCGATGGTCATTTGAGTCTATATAATGTGGCATCACGCAGGACTTGATGTTAAAATATTTCAGTAGATTAGTCACTACCTGAATAGCTCATTGATAATCTCTTTGGGTGCAAAACGATTGTGGGTTTAAATCTCATGGGAAGCATTAATTACATTAAGACTAGATGTCTTGGTAATTGGTGTCAACTAAAACAAAACTTGCACTCTCCAACCAAATAATAGTGTTTTATCTAATCAGACGACCGTTTGAACTGTCAGTTAGTTTATTCATAATAATTTTACTCGAAAATTTGGCTACATTAGTATACGGGTTGGGAATACATCTTCGTTAAGCGGGGTCCGAGCTGTCAAACTACAAGTTTAGTGATGAAACCAATGACCATTGCAACTATTTCCAATAAACGCGTCTCAATTATTTACTACTTTATGCAGAAATGATTTCAGGTTAACTTTTCTCAAAATACGGATCTTTGGGTAACTAGTGAGAGTCAGGGAGGTGTAAGCAGATTTTTTAGCAATATTTACCCACGAATCCATTACATTATCGAGACCAGCAGCGGATACGTTCCCCACAGGTCACTGCGTTCAAGTCTAGCTATTTACCTTCTCAGTTTCAACCCATTCTTCATATATGACTACTCACCCAGTTTCGTCGATGGATTACTATTTTCCCTAACCTTGTTAACTCAATAGGTCACAGTTTATTACTAAAATTTAGTGGTCGTAAAGTACCATGTTACTGCATAACCTAAATGCTCTGTTGTCGATATGATTTCAAATCATGAATAAGCACTACAGTAGTCAAAGTGGTCATGCAGTTTCCAATGACTGTCTTTGTCTTCTTGAATAAATCCTTAAGCGAACTATCGTAGTTAACCTTCAAGTAAAGTTCAGTCTTCATATGAATTGGTTATTTTTTGACAACTGATGCGAAATAACTGCTTTTTACTTGTTTGATGAATAGGAGTTTACCATATGAAGCAATATAAGATCTTAATTTTACGTCCAGCGGAATTTAGGGTCAGGAAAAGTAGTAAGCAATCTCGTAGTAAATGCTCAATAGGAACACTTAATTTTTCCAATGTGTTCTGTAACATATGGATATTGCGAAGCTAGATGATAAATCGGTTTTTATATTTTCAAGTACAGATATAGAAGCAATGGTTTGCTATCGCTTGATTTATTGAAAATCTATGTAAAACTTACCAATAAGTTAACAGCAATTAATATTTTAGTCAAGTCAATGGTCAGCAGATGGACGAATTATTATTAGCTGCCATTTTTTCTTTTAATCATCAATTTATTGTCTATAATATTCTGTACATGAATTAACATTAATTCCTATAATAATTAGGAGACTGTGGAATTGGTCAGCGATGTGTTGAATGTTGAGGTTTTTTGTGAAGTCATTGCAAATCATCTTCTCGTCGGAACATATTGCGTGCTAACAAACCAAGGTGGACTTGTTCATCCTAAAGTTACAGTTGACGAATTAGATCAGTTGAGTAGTCTTCTTCATCTTCCACTAACTGCTGGGACCGTAAACCAAGGAAGTGCACTTATTGCAGCTGGACTTGTGGTCAACGATTGGGCAGGATTTTGTGGTCAGAAAACGACAAGCACAGAAATTCAGGTATGTTTATCCATTTTAACTTCTAAAACTTTTTACGTTAACAATGCGATATTCATTGTGTTGCAGCTAACTTAAAAGCTACTTATTTGCAGTCAATGAATACTTGTGATTTATATTATTTTGTCAACACATATGAATTATGACTTACTCTTATTCTCTGTCCATGTTTTCACAGGTGATTGAGTCCATATTTAAATTAGATGGTGAAATGAACGTCCTTGTCGCGGATTCGATGCACGATGCCTTGGTCGAAAGGTGAATAATCTTTTACAAATTTTTTATCAATCACTATACGAAAGAGCTATTTATTAGGAATGTAAAATTTCTGAAACAATACTGTTGAGAACTTTTACAGTCACAATTAAGTCTCTTGTAATGTTATAATTTAGCGGTCAAATGAGTATCACTGTGAAATATTTACTGATCATGATGGTGAAATACATTGAGTATTTTATTACCCACCGATGTTGTATATTGATCCTTTTGATTGTTTGAAAATCTACTTTTGAATGTCATTACCCCATATCTTACAGTATCTCATCAACTTGTTGGTTCTCAGTCTCGAGTTTTAGACATTTGCGCCTAAACACAGATTAACATTTTCTTTAGTGATCATAGTTGTCTTCTTTGTTTAATGAACATTAGAAGGTTACTGTTTGAATCATGCATATGTGTATAGCTAACATGGATATTGTGGACTATGATAACGTTATTTAGTTTAAAATTCGGTTGTTTTGTGGGGTAAACTGTTTTCAAGTAAAGAAGAGTTTTCGGTATAATAGGGGAAGTCGAATACAGTACAAAGGATACCTATAGTTATATGACTTTTACTACTTTTCTGTCACAGTCTACATTAAGGTCAATAGTGTAAACGAAGCTTGTGTTTTATCTCGTTAAACTCAAATTTGGGATACGTCTTTTTTAACTGAAAATGGTATTATCATTAACCTCTACACGAATAGTTTACTTAAAAGTTAATTATTTAGACATGCTTTAGGGAAGTGATGTAGATTATTCCTAAAGTGTAACCAGTTAACACTAACATTGCTTTTTGTTTGAATTAGAAAAGGTGATTGCATCATAAAGCTTCTACGTTGTTTTTTGCTTATATTAATTCACTATTAATTAGGAAAATAAATTTGTAAATTATGGTCAGTTTTTGATTAGCACCAGTTAATTTCTTACACTGTTCTTTTTTTCGCGTCATATCATTTTGATGTATTGTATAGTCTTTATCAGTCTTGAGTGCAGTTCGTTCTGTTTTACTCTACGGCTGCAAAACGTGGCCATTAAGATTAGAAGATACTCGTCAGGTACTAGAATTTGACCACAGATGCCTTAGAAATATTGCTCGCATCTGCATGGATCACTAGGTAAGTAATAGTGAGGTTAGACCCAGGGTATTAGGGAATGATGCCAAATCAGTTGGTGAGGTTGTAAATCTTCATTGACTGAGATGTTTGGGCCACGTGTTGCATATGTCTGAACAACGATTACCACGACGCGCAATGCTGACTGGTGTTAGAGATCGTTGGAAGAAAGTTAGGTGCGGCCAAACCAAAACGTGGCATCAGTGCTTGAAGTCACTAACTTCTAGTCTTAGCCGTGTTGGTAGATGCAGACTACTTGGTTGTGGTCCATGTGACTATCATAACCAATGGTTGGAGACTCTTTATCGAATAAATTAAACATGTAATTGAACAGGAAAAAAATACTCAATGCGCTTATCCAGCTCCTGTATTGTAATTATGCATAGGCAGAAATAGTGGTCGATTTCATGTATTAGCATTTCGTTTATTTGTGTGCATTATTGTATATTTATATTATTGTTTTTGTTAACGTTTGTTTCTTTTCAGCCTTAGCTGATGCACCTGTTGGATTTTATACAGATGCCTCATTTATTGTGAAGAATATTATCCTGTTACGTATCCCTCCATTCGTGTACATTTATTTCTGAACTTCAAAAATTAGTAACTTTACATCCCAAAATATGTAAAATGAGCATATACTCTTTGTATAATCAATTTTACACAATTCGATTGATATGATTTCACTTTATTTGCGCGTATTCTGTTGCAATTTTCCGTCTTTTGAAAAAAGTGACTTTCAAAACAAATAGTTATCGTTCTTTTAATCAAATTAGAAAAGGTGATTTATCAGAGAACAATTGGAGAGTCAAGACTTACTTAGGATTAAAGGAAAGAAATATCTCTTGCAGTTAGTACTTCATTGTGCCTATATATATATATATATATATATATATATATATATATATATATATATATATATATATATATATATATATATATATATATATATATATATATATATATATAACGTAATATCCAGTAAGAGAACTGACAAATATTTGACAACTTCATACGTCAGTTGAGAAAAGGGACCTCAAGTATACACAACCCATACGGCCAAATTAGTGGAATCTGTTGGATAATTCGGAAGGCGTTCAAGTCCACCTGATGTCTCGTATTCAATGGGTGGGCAAGTACAAAACTTCTAGGTAAGTTTAACTGTTCTTTAACCAGATGGTATAGTGTTAGGATATTCAGTGATGAGCCTGCCATAAAGTTCATTCTGCCCTACTTTATGGCTGTGAAACATGGCCTGTAAGAGTAGAGGATATTCTTAGGTTACTAGTATTCGATCATAGGTGTCTTCGAAGCATTGCTCGTATATCCTGGGACCACCGAGTAAGTAACTCAGTTGTTAGGAAACGAGTACTAGGTTGGGATGGCAAATCGGTTGATGAAGTGGTGAAACCTCATCAGTTGAGATGGCTGGGGCACGTGTTACGTATGCACAACTACCGACGTGCGATGTTTCATGGTGTAGGAATAGGTTGGAAGAAAGCTAGAGGCGGCCAGACCAAAACATGCCACGAAACCATGGAGTCACTGACAAGTGAACTGAGCTATGTTGGCAGATTTAGGCTACCTGGTTGGGATCTGTGAGACGGTAGGAACCGATGGTTAGGGACCTTGAATGACATGGCTCAAGATCGTTTGCAATGGCGCAGGTGCATCCACTCTTTGTGTTCTCCCAAATTTTAATCTCCTGATTCCTCCTTGTCTCTTTTCTCTTCCCAAATTTATTTCACTGGATTATACTCCTTGAATAACATCTTCAAACCCTAATGTTTCCGATTACTGCTTATACTCTTACTACTTCTACCACTGGGATTTGAATCGGCAATTGTATCTCTTTGCTAGTGTGGTATGGCAACTCGAACTAATGTACGTACGTACGAAGTTTTACGTTATTGACTGACTGAATGCCTAATTGCCATTTTCTGATTACTTCACTCTGTATGTATTTAAGTGTGAAGCAGATGGCGTGTAATTCACAGTTTAGCTATCCAATTGGTTTTCCCATGCGTAGATCACCATGTGATGGACGGATATGTGGTGCTTCATAAATTCATCGTGCGTGAGATTCGATTCTATTGTGCTGTTTGAGCTAGGTTCATATGTACAATGTACTCTATCTGGAGGCTGTTCAGATCCCAATTTAATTTCGAGGAAAAAGTACTCATCTTGTAATTTTCCATATATCAAAATGGTACTCTTGTCTTAGACGACTCGTAAGTTTTGATTTAAATAAACAGTTAAATGACGAGTTTCGAAAGATAAGGAATTCACTGAGAATCGTGGATAAATGCTTGTTAGCTTATAACCGTACCCAGCAAAACACTTGTTAACATCAACATTCACTCTAGCTTCCAAGTTTAGCAAGTTTTCAGACTAGTAATAGAGAGAAATTTGTGTTTGACATGTGATAGAGATTAATTTTGATTAGGGTATTCGGGAAATTTCGTCTAACAGTATTCTTACTACTTATCTAATGTAAATCGATTATCCTTACGGTTGTGGAATAAAGCTTGTGTGAATTTAAGCATAGTTATATCTAAATTTTTCAAAACGAAAGGATTTGACTGACAAAATCTCATGTAACAATTAGGTTCTCATTCCTAACATTTGTTCATCTCCAAGCATACAGCAAATATTTCACTAGACAAACATTTAATCAGAATGGTGGTTATCGTTGACAACAGCATCTACTAAACACCTGTAGAATTCTTTGATTAGAACAGCAAATAGATCGTATTAAGTCAAATCTACACTGCGAGTTAGTGTACCTAGCAATCACTTCAGCTGAACTGTTCACCAGCTTTAACAACATATCTTATTCAGTGTTCAATGAATGTATATAGTTGGTATGATAGGAATGAATGCATTCATAAAATTTTGCGTTAAAAATGAGTACTCATTCAATGATATTTTATCAATCGAAAATTTCAAAAGCATGAGCAACCGATCACTAACATTACACTACCGATTGAGTTGAAATTCGAAAGATACCTGTCATTGCGTGACAGTAATCAATATAGGAAATTATTGACAGACAAATAGAAAAAGACATAATAAAACAAGTAATTTTCTCAATAATTTAGAACATTGATTTGCATATAGTAGAAAACTTTCTAACGATTATGAGATACCACAAGGAATTTGCTAAACTTTAAATAACTATGCTTGATTATATTTTTGTGCTAATTTTTCTAAAAAAAATTGTACTCTGTTTAAAGTTCATTGTAAATTGGTAAATATTTATATTTAGCGTATGCGCCACATGAAGAGCGTATACTTCAAAATTTGAATACCAATTTATAGTGTTAACAAACTGAGTAATACATTGAAACTATGAATAGCAGAAAAATGAATACAATAAAAAGGATAAAACCATATTGTAATAAAACAAAATGAATTTACTTTACTGACAAAAGAGTACACTGATGTCACGTATGTGTGAATAAATGACAGAAGTATTAGAAGGAAAATAAGATATGAGATTATGTATACACACATACATATATTCTTAATTATAAAGTTAAGGATAGCAATTTACTAAATTGTTAACTCTTCAAATATCCTACAGGTTTATATTAGTGAACTAAACAAGCGAATATATATATTTATATATAGTACTAAATTCTATGCATATTGTACTGTTACGAAATAATACAAACGTTCATTATGAAGAATATTATTACAGAAGACGACAAAATTCAAGTGATGTTAAGAGGATTGTAGTTTATGTTTAACTGATTGAAACTGTGCACGACTAAAATAGAAGAAATGTGAGGTAGAATTATCAATAATCATTGGTATTAGATGTGAAGAGTTCTGTCCCGACCATAGGTTGTAATTACGATACACGTTAATTGTTTTTTATTTGTTACAAGATAATACAATGAATCTACAGAAGACGTTGAATAATTTTTGTAACAAATTGACTAAATAGATCAAAAGAAGAAGAAAAGGCGCGATCGAGGAAAGATGTAAGATAAGCCATGAAAAATAAATTTAAGGAAACACAGCTGCCACATTTAATCTCTCAACATGTGATTTCTCTTGCAAAATAGCTATTAAACCAATTCCGTAACGATTAGTTGATGTTTTCAAGAGGGCGGGTATACAAAATGAAAGATGGGAACCGAACAGATTATTTAAAGAAAATGATAGAACACAAAAGAAACAGTTTGCTGTTTCAATTTCATCTATTGTAGAATCTAAGCACAATGAAACGGTTCACAAAGATAAACAGGTCAAACGGAGAATTAGAAGTAACGTTGAATTAGTTGTTACTATTATTATTATTATTATTTAGAATGAAAGGTAACAAGGATTATTCTTTAAGTTTCCACTTTATTAGTGTTACACTTGTATTATGAACAGTAATAAGTTTCAGCAGTATGAAAGTGCGATTAGATTCAGCATGAAAACGTAAACATCTCATGAGAATACAATTACAATATCTATTTGAATACAGGAGAAGAATGATTAGAAAATTAAAGATGGATAATTATTTATGTAACTAAAATTAAACTGAGTAATAGAGCTAATCAAAATAAACACTGAACAATGTAACAAACTATGACAGATTTAAAAGGAACAGCAGTTTATGAATTTTAAAGATAAAATTAGTGAGAATAAACAATGATTTAATTGTGAGCAAAACAAAGACTTGACACGTTTTACAACTAGATCATGTTTTTTGTTTCATGAAAATGTACTTTATATCATTAACATGAGGATAATCAGCATACATACACACAGAAAATTCAGTATTATTACTTATTCAGAAAATGCAGTGATTACTTCACGTCCTGTTCCACGTACCAATAATATACGTGATAAGCCATCTGTCAATGTTTCAATATAATCCATATAATAATATTCACTCCCTAAAGTACGTGATGGTCCAGGCATATTCACAATGACTAAGTCTGATTCACTTGAGTGAGTGCGTAATAATTCATTTAAACGTACAGCACAGTGTAAGCGACGTTGAGTTCTAGTTCTGGGATAAAGAAAGATTATAAAGAGTATAAAGTTAGGATAAATAGTTTACAATAAATTAGCGGAATTTATTTATTCAACCAAGGTCGAAGGAAAACGAATGTTGATGTATAAAATTTCACAGTATTACAAATATATGATTGTAAAAATGTATTGATTTATGTGTAAGTTGATAAAATTATAAGAAATCCGTTTGTGAAGAATAGGGGACCCAAAAACTCACTCAACAGTTCCAAATGGAAAACGGAACAGTACAAAATAGAAAAGGCGAATAATGACTTTAACAAAATAATTTCCCTATATGGGAAAAAATAGCGACGTTCAGTTGTAAGATTATCGTTTAAAGTCGTATTTTGCAGTTTTTAATAATCAACACTAGTTGTGAATAGACATTGGGTCCATATCCATTTCTACTAATTCAGTTAGTTGGTAAAGTATTTTCAATGCTGAAATTCTAGAGAGTATGGGTGCTTTGATAATATTGTGTTCTTTGAACTAGACAGTTCAATTGTAAAGGGTTCATTGCCATTTTTGGGTAATATCGGCAGCATCTTCCTCATGTAAATTTTCAATTAAACTATTTAACCCAGTAAACAATACTAATGATACTTCGAATGCAGTGAAAAAATCTGGTCAGTTTGTACATACACACTGATGCTGCGTTAATATATTGCTGAAATAATGGTAGTTAAATGTCGGTAATTTATGACTAACAGTAAATGGAAATATACAAATCATT